GGCACTGTCACCTCACAGCAAGAAAGGCCTGGGTTCGATTCCCGGCTGGGTGACCAGGGTCCTTTCTGTGTAGAGTTTGCATGTTCTCCCCGTGTCTGTGTGGGTTTCCTCCGGGTACTCCGGTCCCCCTGCCTGCGACCCAGAAGGATAATATGTGTGGGTGTGTTTTATTACTCTGACACTAGTCAATAGAGCCAGTAATGTGGGAAGGTACTCTAAGCTCAGGGTGCTGAATTTTTTAGCACCATATAGGTGCTGTACATCATGCTAAATCCTTGCTAAACATTTTTTTTCTCATCTCAAGAGTAATTCATGTGAAATACAACATATAACCTGCTAGACTGTGCTGAGAGACTACAATACAGATATGCTCAAATGACCAGGGCCACCCCAATTATGGAAAGTAAGACAGTCTCATCATTAATAAAGCAGCAATTATGCTTTATGGAGAAAATCTGCCACTGGGTAATTATCACTCAATTAAAATAGATTGATAATGCTGTATTAATAATTAGCATATCTTGCTGTGATAGGCTAGTTTGCTCAGTAAGGAGGCATTCAGCAGTGCTGCCCTGTAAGCTACATTAAGAAGAAGGCTATGCAATGGTATTTATGAGTTATTAAAGATTAATCTGAAGAGCAATCTTGTAATCTGGGGGTGCTGCAGCCCCCTCGACACCCCTACTTCCCACGTCCCTGAATACAGCTGTATCCTGGCTACCAGAAAGTGTGCAAGCCCAACCCAGGGTCTAGATCAGGGTCATCAATTCCAGTCCTGAAGGGTCAGTGTCCAGCACAATTTTATGTTCTGACACACCAAATAAACCAGGTAATTAATTGATGAGCTTAATCAGATGCGTTAGAGTGTGGAAACCATCAAACTGTGCAGACCCTCCAGGAAGAACTGATAATGATGATCCAGATGTTGGAGTAAATTGCCATTGCAGCTCAAATAAAGGAATATGTTAAAATCAAGAATTAAAGAGCAGTCACAAATGAAACTGGAGCTACATCACATACACTTGAGTGTATATCACAAAGACTAAGCTTTCTTCAGGTTCAGCAGTTTATGGTGTATAGTTGTTTATAGTGTTGCAGTGGTAAAGTGGAGCCACTAGATGGAGTTAATGTACTTTACTGCTATTTCTGGAGCAAAATCCATAAACTAGATTTTTAAAGTAATGGCAGCTCTTAATTCCAGAAACATCATTATAGATAACAAGTTAATCCAAAATATACTAATTCCAGCTGTGGATTTTTAAAGGTGGAAAAAAGTGAATTGGTCTTGAACAAACCAAATTGCAAAAGCCACAGAAACAAGCAAGAAACAAAAAGAGCTGCTTTACAGGCCAGAGAGAAGTATAACAAAGCCAGAGTCTGGAGAAGTCAGTGAGTCATTCACTTCAGGTAGTCATCAACAAGGACTTGCAGCCAAGTTATTATGGTTTTATTCAATATGTCCATTTTCTTTTGGTCATCATAAACCTGCTGCATTTCCTATACGGTTCAATATAGCAGGAGATGATCTGAAATCAAGGTGGACATTCTGCACTTTGAATAAATGAATCTATGTCTATCTATTCATTTCAAATCCAATGTGCTGGAGTAAAGAGAAAATAAAAATAAATAAATCAATAAAATCTATAACCTTGTCAAAGGTAACATGCAATTCATGCGATATATCAGCCTAATGATAATCACTAAAGCATTAAACCCTAAAGTAAGTCGACTGGGAACCAATTTCATACCTTAAAATCTTACTTTTTTACAGTAGCTATAAATTGCAGTTTCCTCCAGTTTTGGGGGCTGCTCACTTAGGTTTTTTTCTATAACATCAATGTAATACATTTTAATGGAAATCTGTATGATTTACAAAACTAGCAGCAAACTGAAGGTTTTTTCTACAAACCTAGTAACATGAAAGCTGCCGCTGTGCTGTCCCTTTCATCTTGGCACAGCCATCTTTGCGAAGAGATGTGAATTGTTTTCACAGCAGGGGGATTTCACTCTTCATTGCTCGCTAGCAGCTCAACACACTTCACACAGAGTCAACAGTGTCCTAGTTAACTTGAGTTACAGGGAAAAATTATTTGATTATGTCATTAAAAATATTCAAGATAACATCCATCCTGCTGGCGTAATGGCCACTAGGGGGCGTGTAGAAAAGGACTAAAATGCAACGAAGGTACACTGAAGGTATTTAAATGCAAATTTAAATTTCACACATCTGTCAGATCAACTGTAGCCTCGGTTGTGCTTTCTTGCTAATAGAAGTCTCTAAAATCTACAAGAACTACAGGACAAACAGGAAATTATGAAACAAGAAAAAATTGGCTACACTGCATTTTATAATATTTTATTACAATGAAACCAAACATGATCATAGCCCACACAACAGCCCATTCATCTCTGGGCAATTTGAAAAACAGAGAGAAACACACCACAGCTGGTTGCTATACAGACGTAATCAGAGGTAGTCAGGGAGCAGGAAAAAATGGAACAGCCGTATTGAAAGAAAAAAAACTTTGTTAAAATGGACTGGAGTATTAAACAGCACTATTTATATTGGAACAAAAGGGGGCTAAACTGATCATATCATAGACTACCAAATCCAAATATGATTGTTCAAAAGGGTCCTGAGTCACTTCAAGTCATAACACAGGGATTGTTCTCTGGAAAAACAACTCTCAGCAATGTTTAACAAAGATCAAGTACAGCATACAACGTTTAACACAGCTATGATGATTACATTAGCCTGCTATAGTTTGCTTTATTCAGTTAAAACTCTCTACACTGCATATTTTCTGCATGTATATGCAGGTTTTTCTCATGGATATCCATATATGTATATAGGAAAAAAAAAATGTTTTTCTTTAAACATCTGAAAAAAATCCCATTGGGGATTTAAAAGGATCAATGTGTTCATCACTTAAACCAAGTTGCAATGTCGCTACGTTTTCAGTATTACGCTCAGTATTAAAAATAATCTATCATGCCTATTGTTCTTCACACTCAAAACTGTAACCTGCAAGTCTAAAATAAAGTGCACACATTCTGGAGAAAGTATTTTCAGTGCAAAAGTTAATACGGAACATGCTATTTTTACATATTTCTATTTGGGAGTTATTTGCACACAGCTAAACATTCTTAATGGATCACAGTAGATCAAAATTTATAGAAAAAAGTTCCAACTTAATTACAGAATAAAAATCATCAGCCAGTTAAAAATACAGCACAGAGACAGCAAACAGACAGCCCCTGCATACAAGAGGTCAGGAGCCACATGCTAAAGTATCAGCCCTTCTGCTATTCATGCACTGCAGAGTCAATCAATATCACATTCAGCCAGCTGAGGGCAGCATCTCTATATTTAGCTACTGCAGTCGCATCCTTTCAACAGTATCACACAGACTTTACCCGACAATAAATAGCCATTACAGCCAATGCAGAAGTTAAAAGTGCCTGATTGTATAGATTTTTGTGCAAAGCAAATCAATCAATCAATCAATAACAGTAATAACAGTTGTCACCCACATAAACGCATGCACAAGTTTCTCACTGTAACTTTGAAGGGGAAATTTTTCATAAATTAAATATTTCAGATTTTTCATAATGGTTTACATTTATATGTGACCTAAGTCATACAGAGTGGTTTGATGTTGCTCCATTCTAGAGAAACTTGCTGAGACAAGAATACCTCACAATGGTGGTGATAAGAACCAGACATCTGAGGCATTTAATGCCTCTAAAAGCTACCTCACACAAAGCTATAATATGAAATGGTGAAACAGATACACTGTCTGATGTCTGTGACACTGTTTAACAATTTTGAGATAAGATTTTGTCCTAAAAAGATACATATTTTAAATTCATTATGGCAGAGAGGTGCAACCAGAATGTTGTAAGGCAAAACAGAACCCAAAGAAAACTTATATTGATTTACCACTATTTTATTATTACATATAAAATATCTGTAGGTTAACTGGTCAATTTGATTGTAAATATAATGACTATATTTGTGTCATAGACATCACAACTCCATCACAAAACCATCACAAAAACTTACAGCTGTTCCGCAGCAATAGAAGTAAATTAAGCTTTAAAAGTTGATGCAAACAGTTCATACAAGTGTCCCAACTTCTTGTTGATTACTTACAAAAAGCAATGTTCCTACACTCTCTAGGACAGTTATCTCCAATTGTTTATTTATGTGCTTTAACTTCAGAGAACACTGAAGCATTAAACTGCGTGAATATTCATAAACCTGGAAAAATAGGACCGTTCTGAAACGTTTGGTCAGTAGTGTACCTACTCACAAACACATCAAAACTGCTTTACACTACATACTTAAATATAAAAGTGGCGTTTCATTAAATTTGTAGTCTCTATATTTTCTGTCTTCCTATGAAGACACAGAACGAACACCCAAATAGTGATTTCAGTATTTAATATTGCACCTCAAAAGGTTATTTGCGTACTCAAGCACCTGTGTGCATCCCTGGCTCCTATCACCACCATCGTAACAAAAAATTGAGTTGGTCATTTCTCTCTACAAAGAACTGTTTCATTACTCAGAAAGACTTCATTTACATGTCAGTAACCACAAAACCTCTGAAAAAAACCCACTCAATAAGCTTTCAGCCACTCCACCACAAAGCCTGTAAATCAGCACCTGCATATCTGCCTAGAGCCTAGGGGTAGTTCCTTTTTACTTAGTGTATTCACCAAGTGAGGAACCTGAACAAAATGAGCACCATTTGAGATTAAATCACAGTTGCCTTTAAACCACTGTTCAAGAAGAGTTTCTAGCATACTTCTTGAGCCCTTTGTAAACGTTAGCCACCATGAAACAGAGAAAAGAACCCAGAGAGAATCACTTCAAGGTACTTCGCGGTTCTTCAAGGTACTCCCACAGTGCAGCAAAGTGCTGATTTCTTGACATGAAATGAATTGTCTTCAGAATTACATGCCTATTTGTACCATGTAGTGCTTCACAGACACTAGAGCTTTATAATGCTTTAAATGATTTAAAAAGAATGTAGCTTTATAGCCCATCATTTACCTGCATCTATTAATGTCCCCACATAAGTTGGATACCAGTAACATTCACTTGGCACCACAGACGTTAAAAGTATACGTGCTCGCGCCCCCATAAATGCCCCTTAAAAAAAACAATTTGGCCAAAAATGCTAACGTGGATAACAATAAATGGAACTGCATAATCATGCTAGCTTCCATTCATTATTAGCATTTATGGACTGTATTCCTCAAAGAGTGGAAAAAAAAGAATGGAGGAAAGCTGAAAGAAGGAGTGATGAATTGTTTTTGGCAAATTAAAGTGCACATCACTTCTTGTTCTGGCAGTAGTTTGCGTAGTTGTTGCAGGCTTTCTGCATGTCCGTGAGAAAGGCAGGAACTCCAGTCTGTTTACAGAAAAAAAAAAGCAGCAAAATCTCAAAGAAACTATAAACATGGTGAAATTTGTCAGGATTCCAGGCTTATGTGTGTGTGCATCGTGAATACAGTACGTCCTGTGTTTGCTCACCTTAGCTGCCCAGTTTACAAGCCACGTTGGGATCTTACCACCAGGATTGTCAAAATAGTTCATGAAGACTAAAAGCAACCACAAAAAAAGAAATTATATTCAAAATGGTGAAAATTAACACAAAACATTCTTTTGCTCAGGTTATTCAACCAATTCTAAAGTGCCAGCCCATCTTTGGATTAAGAAACTTAATCTAACACCCGAGGATGCTCTGCATAGCTGATCTTGGTTCATTCACTCACCTCTCATTTAGCAGCTCTATTATCCACATAAGTAATTACAGACTCATATTCTGTTACTTTATTTTCCACTGGTTTAACCTCAACATGGTAGTTAAAAAGTTTGCATTACTATAAAAATTTCCCATTCCTGCGCCCATATGCATCTGTATCAGTGGTCACCAGCCTTCCGCCTGCAGATCTTTCCTGCATCTAATATATTGGCCACCTCCTTAGCAAACACAAATGCCTCTGACCTAGCCAATTAAGGACTTCTGAAGAAGTTAATCAGCTGGAGCAGGTGTGGCAGACTGTGGTTGGAACAAGACTATGCAGGAAGGTAGATTTCCAGGACCAAGGTTGGTGGCCACTGACCAATGTGATCACAATAAGACTGCTGTTGGGAACCTCCAAAATGATAATTTTTACAGGAGAAGGAAAAGGACCTACTTTACTTTTAATGTAAGTCAATGGAACCAGACTTTTTTACAAGTAATTTTGGGACATTTCTTTTGGTCCATTTATCATGAAATTTGCACAAAATGTAAAGAGCAACAGGCATTCTCAAATTATGTCAAAATCTGAAAAACAAGGTTTTCTTCTGACAGCAGTGATATACAAACTGGTCAAATTACTATATTCACTTAAATGTAAATCTAAACCTAGACTAGCACTCATATCCTTTAGAACAAAACATTACCTTATGTGTATTAAGTTACACATTGTTTTAAAATTGTTTGTTCTCTTACAGGGTGACTTTCTCACAGACCAGCTCTAGGTAGCCCTACTACCCTTCACTTATTTAATATCCAGTAAAACAACCATTAAGTACAAGTTATACATTTTTCAGCATCAGAACTTTCTCTTTCCTTTTGCAAGTGAATTATATCCTTGGAAATATCTTCCAAACAATGAATGTTAATGGCCATTCTGAACAGAAATTAAATAAAGGGTGGTCACTGACTTCTGCACAGTACTGTACATACAATATTGTTCAAAGAAATATTGTTCAATCACTTCATGTTAATATTTTTCTAATTTTTTATATGTACAAGATTTCTACATATCCAAATATAGATGTATTTTAAACTAGACAGCAAAATGTATCATTTTTATATAGAAATTGCAATTTTTTTAATTGCAAGGGCTGCAAATTTTAATTTTATCCCACGTTTAATTACATGACACAATGTTGTCATGTAACGCAGAATTCATGAACTGGCTCACTACATTTAGCGCTCAAGCCTCAAGTTGTGAAAAATGGATGTGCAGGTCTTCTAGTCAAAGGCCCTGGAGCTTAATAGAAAATGATTGCATTTAATTTGCAATTGCAATATTGGTCAGAAAAATCCGATCAGGCATTTTCCCCCAAATCATTTCTCCGTATATAAAACTATAGATTAATACACATTTCATCTCCATATGCAAATTTTAACCTTTAGTGCTGTTGGCCCCATCACTCTCCATGGCGACGCTCTGTTTGTAGTCCTTTACTCTGATCACTCCTGCTTTCTCTGGACACTGAGACACAGCTGAGCTTTTAGCTAAAACCACCCAGATTTTTCTCCCATTCACCTCCAGCTCCCTGCGCTCCCGCACATACACATACTGTGAGAACAAGGTTAAGGGCAAACAGGCAAACAGGACAGAAAAGCCATTGGTCACAGTGCATACACAAATAAATAAATAAATAAATAAACAAACAAACAAACAAACAAACAAACAAACCACATTTGCACACAATCACACTTAAATTACACATCGTTTCACACACATAGACACACTTGGTTAGCTAATGCCATCTGTTGGGCCCTACACCCACACAAACTTGCACATACACACCATTCACACATTTTCTTGACAGACTACATCATTGGTTATGAGAATTAATGTTCGTGCATGCAGACTGAAAAAAGTTAATCTTGAAGGATACATCCCTGTTAGACAGGGGGAAGGGATATTTCACCTCCCAGTAAATAGCCTTCTGGCCGCCATAGTCTCTCTCATAGAGCTCTGTGGAAGGAAACACATTCGCATTAATAACTTGTATATGTATATGACGGTTGGCTCCAACAGCTAATGGCTGGGGGAAGTTTCTGCTCTAGCCAGGTAACTTAAGCCAAAGACATGATCTGAGTAAGAGAAGACTACTATTGAAAACATCAGACCTCCTTAGTCTATGTAGGTTTCCCATCAATAGCAAGCAGAGCTGATGATTAGCTATTTGAGCAGGTTCAAGTAGTTTGGCTAAATGTGAAATCTTTCTTCACAAAATACCCTGAGATGTAACTAATTTGTTACTAAAGATGAATCAACCACAGTTGAGTACCTGCAGGAGATAAAAAGGCACAGTGCAGTAGAGATGTGTGCAGTTATTTATTTAATATACAGATTTCAGAATTTATCACTGTTTACTTAATCGTGCATTTAAAATCATGTTCTTGCCATTTTTAAATAAGCTTATCAGTGAAAATGCAAAGCAGAAAATACCAGGGTGTGAGAAGCTGATAGTCTGATGGTTTCATGTTAAGCCAAATGACCACATCTAAGTGGAGCAACAGTCGTATGCAAAAGTTTGGGCACCCCTGATAAAATTACATGTTTTCTGCTCATTTTAATGCACATTTGCTTTTTACCTGCTGAATTTAACATACTGGAGAAAAATAAATGTGCCCCATGCAAACGTTATGGCACATTTTATATTTTTTCCAAAATGTTAAAATTTGCAAATAAAATGAAGCTAAAATTAGCAGAAAACTGCCCTATTTAAGTCCCTGAAGATGCGTTAACCTTTTTCAGTTTTCACAGAAAATCAACAAAACATAATTTGAACTGGAGCCTTCAAACTTTTGCATACAACAGTTCATATGGAAGTATTTATGTGGAAATATTTCAATCGTAAGTACGGTTTTGAAAGGATTCATTTTACATGGGGAGGTGGGGTAATGTAATTTAACAATAGGACATCTGAAATGTTTATGATTCCCATGGGATAAGAAATCTCAGCATAAATTACAGAGATGGGAGTGGTTACTTGATTTACGCATTGCCTTTGCACTAAAAAAAAAGTTCCATATGCAACACATTCAGCTGCTCACTAACAGAAAATATCCAAACATTTAATTGAATTGTAATTTTGTTTACCTTAATGGTCTACCGAGCTGTCTTGAGTTAATGCAATGTGTCATTAGCTTGGGAATTTACAGCGAACATCACAACATTATTTTTTGTTCTGTTATTTTACACATTTCAACAACTGAAGTCTTGAGGGACTTGAGGTAGAGCACCACATATTGGCTTGTAGATGCTTTAAATTAAAATAATAAATCACTGAAAAAAAAGCAAAACTCTGACAATGCACACAGGATTAATATGGCCTGGGTACAAGAAACAAAAAAAGAAAAAGTCTGTGCTCTGAAATGAATGAAAGAATGAACGAAAGAATGAAGGAATAAGGCATTATTTCAAACAAAACAGATAAATTTGTAGCACTGATTCAAAATTATCATTGTGCAGGTTAGACAGTAAAGGATCCATATCATGGAAAAACACATTTCCCACATTTTTCTTGTGATAAAGGAGTTTGAAATAATATGCACTGTTACAAGTTTCAAAACATACTATTTACCACCAGAGGTGGGCAATATCGTGATAAAAATCGTGATACTTCAACACATTTTCGCGATAAACAATTTCACCATATATAGTATATGTATCAATCGTTTGATACGTTGGAAAAGGCAAAAACAGTAGTGTCAAAAATACTATCAAAAACTATGAATACAGCGATTTTATTTAACGTTTCACATACTGCACTGCACTAAATCAAATTCGACAGGACTCATTATGTTCTCTTTATAACTTGCAGTTGTTCAAAATCCACACTATGCTCAGAAAAGCATATCGCCATTTGAAGTGGCTTAATTTATCGCAATAACGATAGATCGTCATATTGCCAACCCCTATTCACCACCCACTTCATACAGTCCGTAAAAAAATAAGATGCAAATATTAGCGGTTTTAAATGATTGTTTCTGTGAAATCATCAGCACAAACTCATTTACATATATTCACCTTTTCAGTCTACACCTGTTAGGCCTAAGTCTTGAACACCCTGCTGATCTTTTGGTTAGCATCTTGCTCTTTAGGACACAATGATCAGTTATCTTAATTGTGTGAACATTCAAAAGGAGTCTAGCTAACTTTACGGCTGCACTGATTAATAGGTTAGTTGTTGAAGACATTAACATTGAAAAACGTCGAAACCTCTTTGACTTTAAATCAAAAATGCTCTATAATGCTCTAGAAAGGTAATATGATATGATAAAATCACCATTATCTTTTGCTGCGGTGGTTTACGGACACTCTGAGCAAGGAGAATTGTTCTCTCTTTGCTTGCGTCATTTCAGTATGATTTCTCTTTTTTCCCCATTAAATGCACTGAGCCACATGTGAACGCAGCTGTCCTGTTCTGTTCCAGGCCAGCACCATGCTGTGCTGTAACTGGCGCCACATCCAGCAGGACAGATGTTCTCACTCAAATCCTCCCTGTGTGATGTAACAGAGGCACAGGAAGGGTCTAAGAGTCCCACAATGATCCCAACTCTGGAAATATGTCTTTATTATATAATCCTCGACATAACTTTCTGTTCTTTGCTGTCATAAGAAAAACCTGGGACAGTTCCTTGAGATTAGTTAGGAGCAGAGAAAATTGTTCTTAATTTAACATCTGTTACTGTAACTTAAAACATGAAAGTTTCTCTTTCACAAAAATTTTACTGCTCCATCCATCATAAAATTTTCATACAACGTAAAAGGGCAGCTGTCATTTTTAAAAAAGTATTGGTATTGTTTTTTTTTTGTGGCTTACAGAAAAGCAACACTTCTGTTTTACAGCAATTCAAATCAAACTAAACTGCTGAACATGTTATATCTGGACACACTTAAATCAAACCACACTTTGCTGCTTTGGCAGGCTATATTCTTATCTTATTCTTATTAGTCACAAGTCATACTAATAGCTTAAGCTGTGAAGAAAGAGAAAAGAGACTGAGATCCTCAGTGTGGATGAGACTCTAGTTTAACGTTTAGTAAAAAACCTGACTGATCCCAACACCTCTCTAGTTAATATCCTACTATCTATAAGCCTCCATAACCATCTTATGCCATCTGTTACACCTCCTGTTTATGTTTTCATATTTTTTGGTTTGAATGGGCTTCGAGACAACTGACATGACTTGATACACCTTCTGAACTTTATGCTGCTAAACTGTCGTCTCCACTGCAATTTAACATTTGTCTTTCTATGCTTCCTTCTTTGGATGAAACAGATAAGAAACCTGACCCAAACACAAGTTAGAGGCTCTTTACTTTCCTCTGGTGGAGTACAGAGAGCAGACTTCTCAAAGTTCTTAAATATGAGAATGAGTAACGTTAGAGAAAAGCTTACTTGCACTAAACACTAATTTACTATTAATTTCTTTAACTTTCTTGATTATTTGAATATTTGAAAATTTTGACTAACATGATCATGCAATTTTAGCTGAGTATAAGCTGTCGTAAGTAATTACAATTAACAATATATTTTTTTTGTACTATGGCAAAAAAAGTGGCTGATTCTGAACACAGAACACAGAAGTATTGTTCATGAAAATAATTGGCACCAAAAGTGTATTAAAACTATAATAGCAATTTTTAAGCCTGAGTTTTGTCCACACTTTTATCCATTTTATAGATATCAATGTATCATACTGTGTCAGAAACCACATAAACAAGTCTATTTGGAACTGCTTAATGATGATTTAGGGGTGCAGTTTGCAGAATGCTAATTGGTGAGTGTAAGCTTTCTTTACTTCTGAGCGACATTAGCCTCATGGCTCCAATGCAAAACTAAAAAAGCAAACTTGTGATGTAAACACAAGATTGCAAGGTGTAATGACTGTGGAAAATGATCATGGTCAGCTCAAATAACTGCAATCAGATGACTATGCAATAACTGTGACATGGCTCATTTTAAGCGACTTAAAGAAATGAATGAGCAGTGTTTTTAGTGCAGGATGATTGAGGGGGTCTAAAATCTGGAACTGTGGAAGAAACAAGACTGCAAAGGCAACAAAGCAGTGGTGGTCTGGGCCCGTCCATCCACCAAAGATAAATGCAAGAAACACACACACACACACACACACACACACACACACACACACACACACACACATACACATACACACACATGCATACAAACACTTAGAACAAAAACAACCGGAGCCTGGAGGGACATGACCGGATCTCCCCCTACTAAGATCCGCTTCAGCAAATAAATCAGCACAGAACGAAACGCACACTCGGCCAGGCTGGAGCCAGGGATGTGTTTCTAATAAAGCTGTACCCCACCCACCTTCAATCTCGCATACACATATGCACCACTTGCATGGTCAGTTTGTTTGCGTTTGCAGGAAATCCACACCCTTAGTTTGTCTTGTCTTGAAAATGGACAGGAACAAAAAGAAAACTTTGGCATTGCATGCTTAATAAATAAGAGAGAGGAGTGACCATCTCCGGAAGACAAAGACGTTCATACTGAAATACACAAGATCCACAACTAAGATAGCCTTCACAAACTAGGACCCACCAGTATAACAGCTGGGCAATAATACTGGCTAACACTGATGATTCACGTTTTCTGTTTAGCGTTTTTGGTTCAGGGCATCACAGGGATTCAAACTCATGACACTGTTTAACACTATTTTTATTACAGCGAGCCAAAACTCTTCCCTCACCAACTGCTGGTGGCTTCTGGGGGGTGTTTTGCTAAAACACAAGCAGGCTGAGGTGCAAAGATGCAAAATGCATGCAAAGTTGTAGGTGGACACCGGCCCTCCAGGACCAGAGTTGTGCACCCCTGTTTTTAAACAAAAAAAGTAACATATTAATGTCTCAAGTTTTGAATACATTTTTTCAAATCAATAGTTACATCTCCCACTCACTGTGCATTCAAGTGTTGAATCTCAGCATGTGACTGTGGGCATAATGCAATTGGTTACTGTACCACACCTCAACAATCTGATTGGTCAACACTTTTAATCTGCATGAAGTTTGTTCAGAAGGAGAGACAGCAGAGTGGGCAGGGTGTGTGTACATGTTTTGTCTCTCGCCACAATACAGAACATAAAGCCATACTCTGTAATGCAAACTAATGATCAAATGAAAAAAGGCCATTGACTTTAATTTCAGCACCCCCAACTTAAAACCTTCCGACAAGCCCATTTAAAACTGAGGAACAGTGGCGTGTTTTACAGCTCATGCAATGTGAGGCATTGCCATGCTTTTCCTTCATTTACTTGTGAAGGGAGCGATTCAAACCAGAGCACCCAATGTGGACTAAATGATATTTCTACAGTGTTTCTAAACATGTTTGGTCTCACATGAAAATAATCAAGACATTATGCACATACATACACTCAGCCAATATATTTAAAAGACATGTTTTGATCTGTTTGGATTGAACATCATGGCAAACCTTCTAACTGCTGTTGTAGAAGTACATGAGGAGGAAGAAGACTTGCTTCTTCAGCACTTTAGATTGGCAGATCTAATTTGCACTGTACTCGATATTTTGCCAAATTCCTGTCCTGTGTGTGGTAAGTAGGTCTAAGTTTTAATCCAAGTAAGCATGGAGCAATTTGACATGTTCAAATTTATTTTGTTGCAAGCAGTTTTAGCTTTTAGACTTATTTTTCAATGTACAACAAAGAATGTCATTGCACCCAACTGAAAATTACAATTTTACTAGTGAAAATTCATACTAGCCATACTGAATTTTTACTACAATTAATTTACACAAATTTAGTCAACTTAATTTACACGTCTAAATTCAATTTCTTAGATCAAGAAAAATATGAAATAAAACCTAAAATGGCTTGCGTGGTAATTTAAAATTTTTAATAGTGCGGAAATAAATCTTAACCTTAATTCGAGTTAGTAAAAACTGTTACTGCATTTATTTGTCCCACAATTGTCTCCTGCATGTTTTTCCTTTTATTTTTGTTTTGTTCAATTTTTGAACAATTTCTACCAAACAATTTACTATTATTTTGCAGAACTTCCCTTACAATTCATAGCTTTGTTTCTGAGAATTTTGGTTTTCTTTGAAGTGATCTTCTCCATCTTACTCTACACTTTACTTGGGGTGGGTAATTAATATTTATGACTTTACTGTAAATGTAAAACATTTCACACATTTTGTGTGGCATAGATCTATTAATGCTAAGTTTCATGAATCTAGCCCATTAACTCAAGTTTAATTAATTGATACCACAAAAAAAGACATGAAAAAAATAGTGTTATTAGGTATTGATATGACATCAACAATATGTTAATTTTATATATATTTGGTCAATTCAGCTGTCATGATAGCAAGTCGAATGTCTTGCGAGTAAGTAAAATGAACAGAGAAATAAAAAGAATGATTTGAAAGTCCTTTAAAAACTCTGCATTACTGGTAATGAGGAACAGGTTTACTGAACAGTTGGACCTTTGTGTGCCTTCAAAGCAAACTAACACACACAGGCATATCCAATCCAACATGTTTAATGAGACCCAGATCTACAGAGCTCAACAGGAACATTTGCCTCAGAGAGACCATCAGTTAAGCTGATATTGTTTCCCCACTGCCAGGAAATCTTGTTCAATTCAAATACTGATTTCCCAAATACGATGCTCATTAGAGATGGCACAGATCCACTATCCATTATCAGCACTGAGCTGAGACCAACAGAAAATCAGATATCGAAGGGAAAAAAAAAGAATAAATCTGGTCCAATTATTTAAAGAAACGCAACCCGAAATATGACAAAATTGCTTGTAGCAAAACAAAGTAAAGTGAAGTAAAGCAGACCAAGTGATCGCTGGGGATGTGCACGGGTACTCTAGTACTCATTTGACCATTTGAGGTGCCAGTATTCGTATACTGAAACCATCAGGTCTGCTGCATCACAGAAAATGAGGGCAAAAATATACAGTCCAACAATTCAGTGAAATTGTATGTTTTAAAAAGACTGTAAAATGCAATAGTTTTGCTCATATTTAAGATGAACTAAACGTACACTATACTGACACCTCTAATAAATGTTCAGGTGTTTCAGCCACACCCATTGCTAACAGGCATATAAAATCAAGCACACAGCCATGCAACCTGCATAGACAAATGTTGGCAGTCAAATGGGTCATACTGACGAATGCAGTGACTAAGTGTGGCACTGTCATAGGACGGCACGTGACTTGCCACAAGTCAGTTTGGGAAATTTCTACCCTGCTAGATCTGCTCCAAATGTGAGTGTGGTTATTATGAAATGGAAGCACCTAGAAACAACAACAGCTCAGCCACGAAGAGGTAGACCATGCAAACTTGCAGAGCAAGTGCTGAAGTGTGTAAAAATCTCCTATCCTCTGTTCCATCACCCACTACAGATTTCCAAAGTGCCTCTGGAAGCAACATCAGCACATGAACTGTGCACTGGAAGCTTTAGGAAATGGTTTTCCATGGCCTAGCAGCTGCACACAAGCCTAAGATGACTATGATCAATGCCAAAATCTGGAGCAGTGGAAATGTGTTCGCTGCAGTGATGGATCACACTTCACTATCTGGCAGTCTGTCAGACGAATCAGAGCTTGGCGGATGCCAGGAGAGCGCTACCTACCAACATTAAAGTTTGCTAGAGGAGTGATACTGGTCTGTTTTTCATGGTGGGCTAGGTCAGTCAGGATTTGTTGAGATTCCCATAAAGATTCCCAAGAGCCCCAAGCACAGAGGCCACAGTTTGGGGAAGGCCCTTCCCATTACAGCATGAGTGTGCCCCTGTGTACAAAGCGATGTCCATAAAGACATGGTTTGGTAAGTCTGGTGTGGAGGAGCTCCAGTGTCATGCACAGAGCCCTGTCTTTAAGCCCATTAAACACCTTTGGGATCAAATGGAACGCAATGACTGCAAGCCAGGCCTTGCAAAATTACCAAAAGAAAAAAAATGTTGCTTTTATTGCCACTATTATCACAGCTGCCACCTCACCACCCCACAAAAGTCCTGATTTAACCAATTACTATAATTTTCCACACTGTTAGCCAAATAATAAGATTCTGTTACTTAACTTGGTCCCATGTAGGTCTATCGAGTGGTACCGTGCCACCCTTACTTCTCATGAGGCTGTTTTCAGGTGTGTAATATTAAAATTACACAATTTTTAACCTTTATTTAAATTTTATGTCAATAATTATCCTTGAAGATTAATGGAACAAGCATGGCCATTTCCAGGCCTAGGGAGTATTAGGTTTGTGAGGGATCACACAGGCAAACAAAGTAGAAGGTAACTCTATAACCCACACTGCTACCATACACCACAACACGTGACGTTAAACGCTACCAGAAGCACAACGCAGATAACTCTACTGACTCTGAACACTTTCACACAGCTCCTGAGGCCTGTTACCTGAGCAACAGTTTGGGAGTTTTCCAGAAAGAGGCTACAAGACAAAAGAAAAGCAACCAAATTATTTAAAACTCATCCCCTCACATAATACATTTTAAGCTTGCTCAACTTGATGGATTTCTAAGAGAACGGGTTTTGTTGTCTAGTCTATCTTTGCTGTGAAAGCAACTGGTCTCTCTTGTTCGGGGAGTTGAAAGTTTTCAAGGTGTGGTGGAGAATTGTGTTTTTAACACAATTATCATTCCATCTGATTCTCAATATGAACAGTGTACACCAGCATATTTTAATTTTGAAGGGACACTCTAGCCAAAATGAAAAATTTAACCATGATCATCTGTTGTAAACATGGTTACTGACAACACTGGTGTTGCAGAACTCTCTATATTCACAATTTCTTGTTTAAAGACTAGGAGAACCCCCTTCTGGTGAAGCATATTGGAAGTGGAAGTAAATTTGGAAAGAATTTAAGTACTATAAAGTATAATTTCTTTAGGTTAGGGTTAATGTTAGGTTAGGTGAACACTTGGGGCGAGCTTTTCTTTTCATGGCTAGTTGGCTGTATTATTCTTTTACAAAAGAAAAAAGCTTGACGACTAATTGAGGTCAGTGCTATATTACTAATGCAAGCTGGCACCACAGACGTATTTATTAGTCTCTAGATCAGTAGTAAGCAGTCAGGATTTGTTGAGCATCACAGAGATTCCCAGTGGGAGTGTGATGTATTTGTGTAATGCATGCTGGGAACTGCTTTGAGAGAACACTGATGGATAAAAATATGCAAAAGGTACAAAATTGTGAATTATGTCATATCAGTGAGGCTGAGGGGTGCAATGCTGCGATAAAGAGTACTGCATAACATAAGTAACATATTAAAAGGTAGTTTTAGGCTGGAGTGTCCCTTTAAGTGGAGGAATGGCAATTCATTAATGTAACAGTAGTTTAGTGATGGGACATGATGGGAACATACTGTTGTTTTTGTCATTTAGCTGACCCTTTGGAAAATGATTTGGCCAACCACAGGGCATCCTAAGCACTTTAAACTAAGTGACATCACTGAACTATGCTTATTATTTTTATTATCCCCCAAAAATGTAGTTTTCAGATTTAAAAACAGTATTTTTCTATTTTTTTGAGAAATGTATGTTTGTCAGACACAACATTTTTACATTACCTTTGGCATAATCATCCCAATGCTTCCTGTAAGCCAGATCCATATACACATCTGCACAGAGGTCTGGAGAGCAGGTGGACAGCGAGCCAAAAACTTTGTACTCATAGAGTCCAGTTTCCTGTAAATAATTAATAAATAAATAAACAAGAAAACAGGAAAAAAGAAATCACATTTTCTTCTCACTGAGCTTAGAGCCACACCCCATGGAAAGAGCATGTGGAAGTAATCAGCAAAGTCACATGAAGTTCCTCAGACAGTTAGTCACTCCTGTCATTCAGGTCCAGGGACCAGATTTATGTATTTAAAGTATTCTTGAAAAAAAAAAACCTACGAAGGATCTTAACCACTAAGAAGTTCATAAAAATAAGAAATGTTTAAGCTTTCAAATTTCAAAGCTTTAAAAATGCAAGTTGTTTCTTATTTGTAGTTCAAGAGACTCTGTCAAACTCTTACAGACTAAGACAAGGTTAAGAAAATATTTACCAATATGTTTTTCTGAGAATACCACTTACTCTTATACTTCTGTAGCTAAGACAAAAGGGCACATTTAAGAAGCTTTTCTTTCTTAAGCCACTTTTTGAATCTGGCCCCAGCTTCTCAATTTACCCTCCTCACATTTTCACTGCATACACCAAAGCCAGGCTTATGGCCAATGAACGACTACAGCTAAGGCTGGTTATCATTTAAAGCCCTCAACTGACGAACAGGTGCCTGGCCAACTTAAAAACTGCATTAACGCTGCGTGGCTATAGCTAACTAGCAAGTGAACTGCACTGGCAGCGTTCATTTAATTGTACAGACAGGCTTTTGTGTTCTTTTCTGTTGGTCTTGTTCTCAGTCACTACACACAGGTTGCAATCTTGAGCTTTCCTCGACTAATAACCTCAAAATCCCTGGAAATTCAAACCCAAGAAGCAGCTAAAGAGCTTCAGTCCGGCTGAATGAACTGCAGTCCGGATGAGCTCAGTGGTCCGAGCGAAGTGTGTGTTTACAATCATTTCATTCACAAACTGTGTTTTTACCTTGATGAAACGTCGATATATTTTAACCCCCATGGTCTCTGTGAAAAATTCCCATTCTCCTCCTATCTGAGGCTCATCGAGCTCCTTCCATGCCTCCTGAAACTGCTGCTCGGTGAACTGCAGAGCCATGTTTTCAAATCTCCAGCACCGGGATTGTGGCAACACTCGGCCACAGCGCTGGACCTAATTCTGCCACAATAAAAGTCCCCTTCGTCACTTCAGACTAAACGCCGAAACATAACATACAATTTAAGAAAAAGTACCATTTTTACCTAAACCTACAAATATTTATAGCGTTTCTTCAAAATCATGCACTGACCCGAAACCTATCAATCCACAGATTGTGATGAGAAATTGGCCTAAACAATATTCTATACATCACTATTCTTAAAACAGTGTAAAAGGGAAGTATCATTTTCTTCTTAAGCAGTAAAAGAACAGTGACTTTTCCCTGAATTTGTATTTCAGCGTCTATTTTTCTCTAACAGACAGCAAAACACCATCAGTTTATTTTCAAGGACCCCCCCAGAATTTAAATTTTGGGACATTCAGGGGGTCCAAATGTTAATTAGGACGTTCTGGACCGCCTGGGTCTCCCTGTATTTCACACTTTGCTTTAGCATATCCAATTGGCCTGACAGCATGTCATTGGACTGTGGGAGGAATCAAACTGAACAAATAGGTAAATTAATTTATGTTAACATTTTTGGTGACTATGTCAAAATACTAATTTATGATTCATATAATAACCCAAGGAGATGATCAATTATTCAGGATGTTCATTAAAAATGCTGATTAACATATTGCAGTGTTCTGACATATATGAATATTGCAAAAGCCAGTGTAGTGATGACAATACACCAAAACATTGTGCAGCTGATATGGGGTACATAATGGGTCATCTTTTCATTTTTGTATTATATGAAAAAATGTTTTGTTTACATTTATTTAGTTTACATAATGACTAATAATGGACTATAACTTTCTTCCTGTGTGTGTGTGTGTGTGTGTGTGTGTGTGTGTGTGTGTGTGTGTGTGTGTGTGTTAGGACTTTAGATAAAGCCAGACGAAGGCAGACTATTGGAGTGCAGCCACTTGCTGTGTCCTTTTGCAGAACAGACTAAACTGTATCTCTTCTTTTGTCTGCTGTCACAGTGTCTGTGTATTTTCCAGGCCACTAGTAGCTGTTAGCTGTGCTGTCGACTGCCTAGTAAAACAGTTTAAAGCAACACTCTCTCTACATAATATTTATTTATTTATTTATTTTCTCAAATCTCACCACTATTCCTTTATTCCTTATATGGCTTCAAATCAAAATTGTCATCAAACTGAGCTAAAGTCTGTGGACACAGCAGCCATCAGTAATGACTCCCAGCACTATTTCAAATAGGACATGATTTAATCCTGTGTGCATACGACACAAATTACAATCTGCACCCGGGTTAGACTAAATTGCTACACACATCTTTTATGCTATGGGCCTCATTTTCTAGTTAGCATTTCACACATGCCAAAATAACATCATCACATTCAAACAGCATGTAATAGTTAACCTCCTGTGATCAATGAAATGATTTACTTAGTATTTGTCAGCATACTGAAAGTGCTGGATGTTGGGAAAAAATACATCTGCAGCAAATATGTCTTGACTCAGATTACAGAACTACATGTGTAAAAGCTGTTCTGGATGGTCAATAGTAAGTACATATGTACCTAACCTTTAAATAGTCACTACCAAAACACATATTTTCTGCAATGAAGTAAGCTTTTTTATGTTTTAATGAAAAATATTACAGTTTGATGTGCACCCATGTGTTCAAAGCTGTGTCATGTACCGGCTAGTGTTTTTGAATTATGCTCAAAATTTTCTAAAATTTTCACTACCCAACTACTGAGTGAAGCTTGATTTTCTCCCATCTCTTCCAAATGAAAGCTACTGTTTATCTGTTTATCTGATAATGACAGCTTCGGTGGTCTACCAGGTCTTGCATGGTCAAGAGTCCTATTTTCTGTACATCTCTTAATGAGGTTTTGAACTCCAGTTTTGGAAACTTGTTTTTTTTACTTCTTTTCATTTGACTTTCCCTTAAATTATCTTAGACATTTCTTTCTTCGAAGATACTGTAGACACAGTCTGCCATATTCTATGAGTAATGTGTGCTGTAGAGAGCTGAGGTCAGTCAGTCTGTGGCCTAGAAGCCAGGGTTGCCTCACTTCGCTGGAAAGCGCTAGTGTATCTTTTTGGGCAGGGATTTCAGACAGGAAGGAACACCCCATATCCACTTACAGTTGAACACACTACGCCACTGTTCACAGAGCAGTAAAACAGGGCTGACCTGATAGAGTTTCTCCAACACATGCCATCCAGTGCAATGGTCAGGACTTAGCCAAACAAATGGCTTGATGTTGGGGTGACTAGACCAAATAGCACACACATCACTGTCATATAGAAACCTCATAACTGATTTTCGTAGTTCACACTTTTTGAAAATGCCTAGAAACACAATCACACTGAAACCAATGACACATTCCGGGAGTGCGACACTGGAGCCTCAGAAAGCTAGCAGACAGGAAGTAGCTCTCATTACTTGTTTATTAGCATGTTTTTTTTTATTATTATTTCTTCAGGAAAACATATTTTAAATGAGTTTCATTCAACCTCAAGAATAGAAACATGAAGTTGTCATATAGCCACAAGCAGTCTGTAATGCTGTGGGCTGCTAGCAAAAATTCCCATTAACCTAATGTTCAATATGAACATAAATTCGGACTAGAAGACGATTTAGATGCAAAGTCTAGCACCACATGCTTTTCTAAAGTGAGGATCGACATTTAATGTCTGTTCAGAGTCCAAAATTATTTGGAATAGAAATTTGTCACTATTGACAAAAAGGCTTCTCTGGAGCAATGCCATAGAGGGTACCCCATCCTGGTCTTGGAGACCACCCAAAAGTTCTAATCCAACACATTTGGCTTTAATATTCAGATGGCCCTGAAGGCCTTTATTAGCTGGATCAGGTGTGTTAGTTTTGGGTTGGAGCTAAACTCTACAGGGTGGTAGATCACCAAGACTAGGATTGGGTATGCCATTAGGAGAACAACTTTGGGTTCCCTAAAGAAGGGATAATGAGATATGAGAGTGTAAAAAGCATTTCTAAAGTTTAAAGACTTATAGTTCTCCATATAATTTGAAAATTTGCAGAGATTTGTGGTTTGAAATAAAATAAAGAAATTGTGCATTATCCTATAAATAACTATAAATTTTTATAGTTTTTGGACTATAAAGTTTCTTGTTTGAGAAGGTAAATACATGAACAATAAAGTTATCATCACTAAAGTTAACTGGCTAGCTTGCTAACTTGTGTTAAGGCATCTGTTCCCTACGTTGCAGCTCAAGCCAAGTCAAACACAGCATAAATCCAGGAGAAGTGAAAGTACACTGTTAGCTTGATGCTAATATGATGATTCTTATAGAGATGCTGGCAAAAAAGCATTATTATAACAATAGAAATTAAATAAATCAGTTTCTGTTTCAAAAGAGAGATACTTTATTATGATCAGACGTGCTCTACAGAAACTAGAAAACACTTCTGATTTAAAAGACAGGAAAATCTAGAGCCCCAAAAGTGCCACTGCGGAAAAAATTGCAATGACTTTGCATTCTCTTGGAAACTTTTTGCTTTCCTTTCAGTTCTTTTGTGTTCACTTACAAAATCCAGTGCATTTGCAAGGGAACGCAAAACCATTGCGAGGGAACGTAAAATTTGCGAGGACATTCAACGTCATTACCTTTTTCCGTAAAAATCATGGGAAACACTTATTAATGGATCGGTGGCTTCAGTAGTGCGCCATCTATCGGCAAGCTAGATGAATATATCTGTGATTTTGTCATACAGTTACATGAAATATGCGAGTCTGTAATGGATGCAGCGATGAAATGTCTTTGAAAACAGATGAAAGAGAAAAAAACTACGCACACCTCTCCTCATCTCAGCCACCTCTACAAACGTGGCTTTTCTTTACAACACCTCTCTCTCTCCCAATTCATCTATCTCTCTCTCGCTCTCTCTCTCTCTCTCTCTCACACACACACACACACGCGCGCGCGCGCGCTCTCCTTTTCTCTCTCGTAGCTTCTTCTTCTTTGCTCTCTTTCTTTCCCAACCTCCTCTCTCACGCTCTCTCTCTTTCTCTCTCTCTCTCCCCCTTCACGAACACAATTTTCTCTCACAGACGCGCTCTCTCCCCTCCTTCCCTCCCTCACACTCTTTCTCTCTCACATACACACTTGCCCACTCTCTCTCTCTTTCTCTCTCTCTTTCTCTCTCTCTCTCTGGAGGAGGAACACAGGGACTCCAGGTTCCTCCACAGTTCAGTTCAGAGCACATGAGGCTCCATCACTCAGCTTTTTCTCTCCAGCACCATCTCTCTCTCTCTAACCGGATAACTGGAACTCATGGAAAATTCATGAGCGCAGCTGAGCGGGATGGAAAACGCTGACCAGGTAAAGTTACACAGCTTTATCCCTTCTCCAGGATATCACATCACCTTTACCAACAAACTCACACTGAAAGCAGCTCCGCACTCTGGAGTCTTGTAACGGTTACTAGCCGGAGCCGGACAGACGGACAGGCTGTAGCTTTAATTTGCTTGTGTTTTTGTCTGTTTCTTCATGAAAAAGAGTTTCTTTCAAGTTTAAGAATGGAAACACGAAGTCGTCAAAGCAGCACAGCCTGACTTATAGCTAGCAAAATCGCTAAAAGGTTCCCTTTGGCAAAAAAATGGACTTATAAAATTGGACTAGAGGACGATTAAACGCCAAAGTCTAGGTCCAGAGAGTTTTCTAAAGTGAGCACAAACATTTAAGGTGGGTTTAGACCCTGAAAATACAACTAGACTACGAATAAACATCATTATAAACACTGAGACTAAAGTACCATTAGCACCGAGTGTTCAGACTGGAGTGCGTCCCAAATCTCAACGGTGTACACTAAGTAGGGCTCCAGACAGAAATCATGTTGAAATGATAACATCGCAGAATTTGTCAAATACACTAGCGTTCAAAGTTTGGAATCACTTGTCATATTAATAAGTGAATTTAATAATTGAATCTTGTTCAGTTTTAACTTACACAGTGTAGGCTGAAATAAGCCATAGACAGCAGAAGAAATCTCAAGATATTCAGTATTTCAAGTTTTTTGGGAACAATAAGATGGTATTAAATAGTAAATAATATTCAGTTTTTTTATTTACAGTTGTTTCTTGATGCCTGAAATTTGATCACCACATTTGAAATATTAAACTTTTTAGATGTTAATTATACCCTATTCAGTAAATCATTCATTATTTTACAGCTTTCTAAATCATTATCATGTACAGTTCTGTTCATATCTTTAATAAATAATACAAATCTTTGTGTTCAAAGTTTTTGATAGTAATTTTTGTAACGTAGCACTGCTGGTACTTTTTACTCTGTTGCAACTGACCAGATGTCTGTAAAAATAAATGTTGTGATATATTGTGTATCGTGAAATTTTATATTTTTGCAATATCACCTACCTCTAATTGTATTCCTAAAATTTTGAGTTGTCATTCCAAACACTAGGGTATATCACCAACTGTAGAGTACAGTACAATACAGTACACATACAGAATCCAAATTGTGCAGACGCTGGACGCAGGTGAACACATAGCAGTGGTTACTTACACAGTAACACAACATTTAATAACACAACGTGATTATTATACTTTGTTTATGACAGAAACTACATCACAGCATATTAAGATAAAGAGATTTTTCACATAGTGACAGTACACAAGATACTTGTAGCTCCATAGCATGTGATTTTTAGCCTGTACTTTGTTTATGTTTGATGTAAACCCATCAAAACATGTTAAAATACATAATATGACAGAATACTACATGCTTGTAATATGATTGTCATGAAAACTTTAGGTGTTGAATGAGGATTTGTATTTAAGTCTAAATAAATGATTTGAAAAGGCATAGATGTACAGAGCAAAAGGAGTGTATTTTTTCTTTATCGATGATCCTCTGTTATTTTTTTATAGTGTAGGTGCACAGACATTAACCGTTGAAGGTCTGAGGACCACCCTGTGGTTCATGCCTCAACAACCTGTTAAAATCAACCCTGCGATGCCAGAGGAGCCCCTTAAAGACACCATGACAGTTCCCACAGCCCCTGAGAGGTCACTCACAGACAAAACCAACAACAATGACCCGCTGGTCAGCGCGGTCACCATCCCACTGGTCACAGAGGGCCAGCTGACGGCAGCCACGGGTGGGGCAGAGCTTTCCTGCTACCGGTCAGTAACTCTTTGACTATCTACTGAGAGACTTTAAAGTTCCTGGCTAGCTAGATTAACATACAGTAGCATGCAAAAATTTCAATGACCCTGGTTAAGTTATGCTCCAGTAACCTATGCACATTTTAATGCATAATTACTGTTAATGATATATATATATATATATATATATATATCATAACCTGGTTCAGCTAATCAGGGACATCTAAGGACAGTAATTAGTGTGAGAGTCCATTAGGTCTCCAGGAGCAGGGTTGGTGACCACTGTTCTGGACTCTCCCTCCAAACACATTTGATGAAAGGTTATCATTCTGCTTTATGTTTTGCAGGAAGACAAAAAACATCCTGCTAATTATTTGACACCAAAGCAAATGGTGAAAGTCAGAAATGCATGCTTGAACCTGTTGATGCAGATCACCCTTTATTAATTTTATTTCCAGTCAAAATGGCCATTAATTACAAGTTGTTTATTTTTCAGGAGATGTTTCTGGAGAGACTACATATAATCCATTTGCACAGAGAAGGGGACGATCATAAGTGTAAATGTAATAAGAGAAAAACTAGGGGTTTTCAAAACTGGAGGTCAAAAAATTATTAAAAGATAGAGAGAAAGTGGGCTCCTAACAACCGTGCAAGACCTGTGAGACCACCAAACTGCCCCCATTAGACAAACAGTACTTAAAGCTTTCATTTTTGAGAGAGAGGAGAAAATCAAGCTCCATTCTTGCTTCAGATCTGAAAAATCCACAGGTGTTTCTGTCCATCCCTCCACTGTGAGAAGACAACTCAACAGTATGAGTGTGAAAAGATGTGTAGCTGTCAAGAATCCCTTACTGAGTAAAATAGAGAAAAAAGAAGAAAATTTGCTCTAGATGTCTAAACTGGACATCTGTGATGTAAATTTCATGGACTGATGCATCTAAATTTGTGATTGAGGTTATGTAGATTGTAAGAAGCAGAAAAACATCTTGTATGACTAAACTTAAAAGACTCTAAAAAAGAATGGAAGCTGTAATAAAGGCAAAGGATAGGTAATGGCCATTTTGACTGGAAATTAGAGTGATGTCCGATGTTTGCACAGTAAAGTACTATATCTACATATACATTTATAGCAAACAGCAGTAATAACTCTGCACTTCTAAAGTCCCATCCGAGCTGGATTAGTTTACAAGAGGAGGTCTGTAAAGTAATTTGTGCATGATTTAACTGGCAGATTTGTACAGGATAAAGGATCTGTGTAATTTCCCTGAATTACCCTAAAAAGCTCACACTGAAACATCACCACACAGACATTTACTTCAGCATTGCCACCAAAAATAAACTCCAAAGTACAACATAGGTTGAAGTGCTGTGACAGGGATACTTATAAAGTGCGGCCCAATAAAAAAGAAAATGCTTTGCCTTGTGAAACGTACTTTTTTAGATATACTTTGTTTTCTTCCTCCTTGTCACTCGGACGTCACCAAAAATGTTGTGGATTTTAGTAGCCTTGTCATGAACTTGAGGATTATTGAATTGGGTCAAAGTAAGCTCCATTTTAACTGTTTACCTCATCTTCAGCTCGCAGAACAAAATGAAAAAAGTAGAAAAAGCAGGCACCATTTTCTATTATGCGGGTTTGTTATTACATTACTGCGATGTTGATTCAAACAGGACTGCTATTACTGAGGGAGCTCCAAGTTCAGCAAATTACAGAAGATATTAACTCCAGAACTTCTACTGAGCAGACTTGTTAAAACTAAAGACATTGCAGATTCATACTGGATTAAAATCACAGGTCTCCACAGTTATCATTCAGATTACAGCCCCTCCCCAGGTAAAACTAATCTAGCTTGAATAAGGCTTAAGAGTTAAAAAAAACCCAAAAATGCCAGGACCAGAGTTGAGAATCACTGCCACGTACTAAATATTTTGACGAACTTCATGCACAGTGAAATCTGCTTCTGCTGTAGGTGCACGGTGCCTTTCGGCCTGGTGGTCCTCATCACTGGCATTGTGGTGACGGCTGTGGCCTACAGCTTCAACTCCCATGGCTCCACCATCTCGTACTTTGGCCTGGTGTTGCTGTCTTCCGGCCTCGCTCTGCTGGGCCTCAGCGCCGTCTGCTGGAAGGTCCGGCTGGAGAGGAAGAAGGAGAGACGGAGGGAAAGCCAGACAGTGCTGGTGACCAACCACAGGAATATCTTCGCCTGACCTGGCTGTTTGAGACTTTGGACCTTTCCAAAGACCCATTTCTTTTCATGTCACTGCTACTGTATAAGCAAGTGACTGCGGAGAACTTCGCTTGGGGAAGTGTGCCTTGCTTGACCTGTGACCTGCAAGAAAAACCATGCTGTTATTCACTTCTCCTTACATGCAAGTCCTTTAGCTTCATCACAATGAGAGCAGCTGCACGTAGTGGTTTTACTCTCTTGAACCTGAAGACTGGCTGACGAGCAAGCTCAACCTTTGACCTACATTAGGAAAAACATGCTGCCCGATCTTAACTGCAGCTGTGCATAGTGGAGAAAAGAAGCCAACCTGGAGACAAGCAAGGCTTAAGGTGGATCCCACAGCCTGTTTACTAATACAGATCAAAAACATTACACATGTACTAAGAAAAACACAGTTAGTCACTCCTTGCATGCTATCTGGGAGAAAAAAGGTTATCCTGCTTCATCACCATGACTGCAGCTGCACATACCGGGAGGGAAGAAGCCTGTGTACTTACAAAGAATGTTACACATGGGGTTTAGCTGTAGGAGTATGTTTCATGACAGAAAATAGGCCTACCCATGCTTTGCCACTATTGTGATCTTTCATAGCCACGGTTGCGAATTTGGACAAATTTTACAGAACATTGGCAAAAATTCTATTCAGCCTAAGGAGAAACTGTAGCACACAGCTCAGTTTTTGTCAAAATAAAAAAAAAATAATAATGTGTTAATAATGTAAAATGATATTTATTGTGTATATGTGCAAAAGAATAAAACATAGTGATTTTATGTGCATTCAAGCTTTTTAGAAATAAATATCTGACTGATAGGCTAAGCAGAAAGTTAAGTATCTTCAGCTGTTTAACTAACTGTGTTCACAGTGCAGCCAGCACCTAGGAGTCGGCAATATGCTGATAGTAACTGTTATTGTGATAAATTACATAATGCTTTTCAGAGCATATAGTGGATATCATCAGTATGTAAGGAACACTGACCAACTGCATGTTTCATTGAAAAAAAGTATAATTAGGCCTATTTAATTGGATTTAGTGCAGTATGTGAAAATTAACTTACCTTCCAACATATTAAACTGAATAGCCTAATAATCTGATAACAATCACAGAAACTGTATATTGTGACATAATGTATCCTGAAACTGTCTGGAAGTATTGTGTTTAAGCTGCTGAAAATTATTTAACGAAAATGGTGAAAATGCCCAACAAAAATTTGTGACATTTTTCGACTTCACCACTCGAAAACATGACATTCCACTCCATTTACAGAATACAGAAAAAACAAAAGAAGCAAAGAGGAAAGTCCCATCGAGTGCGCAAACACTAACCTTAGCCACAGTTTTTTACAATGAAGAAAAAATTGACAAACGACAAAGCTAAAATATAAAGCATAACTATAATAATGAAATTCATTTCCTTGAATGACTAAGGCTTCTCTGTTGTTGAGGACATATTGTACAAATTGTAGCCTGTGCTTAGGTTTCGGCAAAAAAAAAAATCATTTCAGTGCACTCATATTTGTGATGTTATGTTTTTTGCCATATAGCCCACCCCTACACATCCCTCTTCTGTAGCATGGCTGAAATAACTGAGATTTGCTAGGAAGATGTACCCTATCACATGTGCCATATGTACCAGCATTACGGCAAAAACAGAATGCACAACAATATGTTTCCTCAGGCTAAATCAGTGAAGTTGAGCTACTCAATTACGAAATGTTCAGGAGACAATTTAGGCCTAGTCCACATATATCCAGATATTTTTGAGGAGAGTTTTTTCTGTTTGTTTTGGCCTCCTATCCAGTTGAAAGCTGTGATTTGGTCACTAAAACTGAGCGTTTTTATGAAAACACCTTCAAAGGGGAGAAAGAGATTTCTGAAAACACTTCTTTCAGTGGTTTTGTGTGGATGGACAAAACACAGCTTTTTGAAAACGCTGACATCACGGCATAATTTGTGCTTGTCTGCAGCTGCTTTCTTTTATTAAGTATGCAGAACTTTGTCTGAAAAATGACTGATGAATTGGGTAGTTTCTGTACACGTAGTGCAGTGTGAATGTTTTGCACTCAGTTCCTTTAAATGGAGTGTCACCTTAATTGCAAATATTACAAAATACCTCTCTGATTCTAAAGGATATGTGATTTGATCAGTAACTAAAGTTAAAATTGAAATTCTAACTCCATAACTCTTGTCAGGACTGTGTGGATGTTTCAGAGATGGTGGTGTAGCCATGGCGGTGTAAACAAACATTTGGCAAGCAAGAGCTTTCTATCACTTTTTAAGCTTCTATTTTCTGGCAAAAATCTGACTGTGAATCTGTGTGAAATATCACATTTTGGAGGTCTGCTGCCTTGCAAGATAAAGTTTACTGTGTTTGTAACACAGCGCTGTCACTTTTTTTGGAAAATGTCTGCTTCAGCTTTTGAGCTTTTGTGCAATGCACTTGCTCACAATATAATGTTAGGATGGTGCTGGCATGCTCACTGCTGGTGATTTTTTTTTTGAAAACGGAGAAAAAAATGATGTTTTTAAAATATCCGGATATGTGTGGACGAACCTTAATCACAGATGCTTGCTGTAGTCTTGCATAGGCCACATGTAGCTTGATCACGTTTTATTGCAACCTTGTGACTTTTTACATGCTTACAAAATAAATATCATTTAAAATTGTCAATGAACTGTTTATGCTAAAATTTCTCATTGAGCTGCATAGAATTTTTTCCCCAATATTCTCTAATGCTTGTCGAAAATGGCAACAGTTGCTATGAAAGAATGCATTTGTGGGCGGAGCATGGTCCATTTCCCAGTGCTTTGTCCTTATTCCACTGATAACAGCATTAGCATGTGGCAGGAATGAGGCCACTGGGTGGACACGCAGGCCGAGGCACTGATGGATGCGGTAGCATGTGGGGATAAGGTGAAGGCGGTGTGAGGGGTTAAGGAGGTGAACAGGGCGTTTCTGGGGCTTTTGGAGACACATACAGCTGTTTCCAGATGTTGTGGAGAAGCCTGAATAAATGGCGGGATCGCAGGATGCTGACCTTAACATGCTTCACCACAAAAACTCTCTTAAACTGACCAGCACAGCCCTGGCTTTGAAGAGAAGCGGCAGGATTTTTATTCCTTCCTTCCCTCTCTCTCTCTCTCTCTCTCTCTCCCTCTCTCTCTCTCCCTCTCTCTCTCTCTTTCTCGCACGCTCGCTCGCTCTCTACTGTCAGGCAGATTGCTTGCATCTGGCTAGCTGGGAAGCGAGCCAAAGAGAAAGTTTTAGAATTAAGACGAATAACTGCTGTACAAACCCTGGAGAGGAAGAACCCCATTAATCCACTGCTGCTTCCTATTCTCTCTCTTTCTGTCAAATTAATGGAAAGAAATTTGGGCTGATGCTGAGAGGAAATGGAAAAGGGGGGGGGGTAGAAGAAAGACGAAACAAAGAACAATGATTTAGTCCTAATTGTTCCAGCATCTTTCACGCAACCTCCTTTGAAGCGGACGTCTCTCTTACGTTTGAAGCATCCACCTCACCTGGAGACACGGTACTTAGGTTATATTAACGTTTAATCGTATGTAGGCTTCGCTCTGGACAGCTGGAGGACATCAGACAAATGTATTTGTCTTTTTTGCTGCCTTTACCATAATGACTTTCTACACTTTAGAATGATAATAAAGTGACCCAAGGCACAAGTAGTGCCTTCCAGAGCAGTAGTAATTTATGTAAAAGTGACTGTTAGACATAGTTTGGCCAAAAATCGAATTATACAAACCCCCTTTACCCCAAATGTGGTTGATCAGACAAGACATGTTTAGCATCCTAAGTTTGCTTCTATAGTTTTACACTGGAGCTACTAAGCTAATGTCAGTGACAAGTAAGGGAAGATATTAGCCCAGCTAGCATTGCACAAACTGTGTTGTTAAGTAATCTCAAATAGACTTGCTTTCAAAAATAGGGCAATTGGTAGATTTTCGTGTTGGATGAGTAATGGAGGCTGCCTAATAAGATAACAGAGCTAGTAGTGTTATGGTAAATGCTGATAAGGACTACACAAGGTATTTTCTCCTGGGTGGACAATGTGCCAACATGTAATTGGTCAGAGAAGTGTATTTTCAAAGCTAACATCAGCCAGAGTAGCTAGCCTAGCTAGTGATTCAGCTGCGCTAATCTCTGCTTCTTGGCCTTCTCATTCATGAGTAGTGAAGTATAACGTAACATACTCACAAACCTGAGCAAAACCATTTCATTTCACTGTATTGTTGTTCTGTATATTTTCTTCTGTATTATCTGTGCTAAGATAACTAATGATTAGTAAATAGCTATTTCAGTATTTGAATATTTACATTAGCATATGCGTTTGAGCGGTTAACAGAGTACTCCAGTACCCTTGCAAATCCCTTTAACTGTATGTCTTGCGGTGTCAGAAACCACTCTGTTTCCAAGTCTGTTTGAGATTGGTCAACAGCTCGACACAGTTTAAAGCAAGTGTGTGGTGATCAAACATGCAGTTAGTGCTATGCTAACTGGCGTACATAAGCCTCCATTACTTGTTAGCTGCAATAGCTCCAGTGCAAAGCAAAAGAAGCCCCGAACATGGCCACATTTTTTAGAAGTGGGAAAACTGCATATGATTTGATTTTTCGCTCAACTATTCAAATATAACAATTATGACATTGTTAAAATGAAGTAATAGTATTATAACACAGTAATTCTTTTTCTTTCTTTGCACTTTGCTGTATGAAACAAACCACATCTGACTGAGCAATGACTTGCAATACTGCTTAATCTTAAAAAGAAAGTTACAGGACCTGATTATCTTCTGAATAGCTGAAAGCTGACAAGCAGAAAGCTTTTGTGAACCTTATTCCATTTCAGTGTTGTTTTATATTTATCTTAGTTATTTCCATTATTTGATTTCCTTATTGTGTTGTGTATCTGTGAAATGTGATAAGCTGTTGATAGAGACTTTTAATAAACTTTTCTAAAATCATTATTAGATACTTCAAGGCCTTATTAATGTCATCAATACAGGAGGGCGGGACACAAACTAATGTAAAATGTAACAAAGACGTATATGTATTTAAACAGGAAAATATCCCAAAACGCCACATTTGATTGGGTGGGGGTCACTCACAAAATTATCACAGAAAGGAAGAACCAGGTAGAAAGCCAGCCCTGCCGTGATTCAGAGGTAAACCGTTTCATTAGTCACAGGTAAGTGATGTCACACTGAAAATCTCTGTCTGTCCTTAACAACGTGACCTAACTCTCCTAACATGACAGATTATTTATATAGTGAGATAATAATAATAACTGTGGCTGCAGTTTTTGAATATATTCTGTAAGTTGTGTGAAGACAAACCAGCAAACAGTTTTGATGAATGGGTCGAACTAATGCTGTTTGTATGGCAGCATCAAAACGGAACATTCTAACCC